CCTTCTGCGTTTTGCTCCTAGACCGACTTTCCCTCAAGCCTTACATAGGAGTATGTCGTGTGGAGGATCTGACCCTTAAACCCGCGGTGATTCCACAATCATTCTCATCCCATCATCGGCTACCCTTGTGCACGGTGTTTCAAATACCCAAGCACTCGACCGGGTTCCTGCAAACGTCCAAACCCGCCCACTCTTGAGGCCCAGCCGCACACGAGGCCACCGGAAAAATTCGCCGGTCAAGTGAGAGTATTTTGAGGTAGGCGAGGCCGCTATGTACCAGCACACTGACCCAGCCAGCTTTGACCTCCCTCTGGTCCCACCATGTCTAGAGGGTTGGCGGCAGCGATGGACCAGGAAGGAGAGGATCCAAATACACTGCTAGTACCGGTCACCTCAGTCAATGTGCAGCGTCCCGGTAGGGGTGCTCCTGGCAATGGGTTCTCATCCCACTCGACTCCTCCTCCCACGGAGGCTAGGACTAATGGGGTTTACACAATCGTGAGACGTTGTACACGCCCGGTTGACCGACCTAAGACGGGTGATGAGACGACGCCTGTAGAACGGGAGGAATCGCGGGCACCCTCGGCGTCGGAGAGGCCCAACCTGGGCCAAGCCGATCCGGCTGAAGTTGAGGACATGGAGGAGAGGGAGATGCACGTTTCGGAAGGACCGGCTTGTACGTACGGACGCTTCGAAGCACTCCTGGACGAAGACATGAAGTCGGAGGCGGATAGCTCGGACAGGGACGACGAGGGCAAGGATTCAGATAGTAGCAACGATGATGCAGCGTACGCGTTTCCTGACGATGGAAATTCAGAGGAAGTGGACGTCATCATGCTGGATGAAACGCAGAGCCTTAATGTTTTACCTCCTCGGGGTCAAAGAATAGCGGAACCCCTCTCCCTATCGTCAGACGCTGCGTTGGGCATGGCGGAGGTCACAAGCGGGACCGAAGGGAAGGGGAGTAGCTCCCTGGACAGCGAAGGGACCCGTACTGTGAGCTACACAGGGTCTTCAGCCCCCACGCATTCCCAGGATACAGCCCCGACACCAGGGTCTGATTTCCCCTACTCGCTTGCCTCTACATCCTCTGATCTTAGATCGGATGAGCTAGCCCAGCCTACGCCGCCTCTCGGTCAGACCCTCAATCCTGAGACACCGGAGGCTGTGGAACCAGAACCGGAAGTAGAGTACGTGACAACGATCGCAGCGGCCCGGAACCCCACGCAGGCGGCGTTTGGCTGTCATGGTTTGGTGGAAGGGAGGTGTCAGTGCCGGACGCCGGACAGTGCGCCATCCTGGCGTTCTACGCGAGTGTGACCAATCACGACGACGGGCCTTTGAAACTGTCCCCGGTCGTGACAAAAGATGTGAATATACACAACAAGGCTATTTATAGTTTAATGCTGGCCAATTTACGGACCGACGCTCTTCTCGGTCTCATCGATCCGACTCAGAAGTTGGCGCGCCTGTACCCTGCATGCCCAGCCCCAGATTCACGGGAGGTAGCCACGGCCCTCCTGTTCCAGCACCTGTTGATTGAGCGGACCCGTTCGGTCGCTCGCAGAGTGCCATGTGCCCATTGGGCCACCTCCAATGCCCTCCGTACGTACGCGCAGTACCTTCGTCAGCCGTTACTGGTGTTGGACGTGGACGCAAATGTTGATGCACACATGCAAGTATACAGCTACAGTCATCATGCGATGCCCGAGGGGAGGGAGGGGACCGCATCGACCCATGAGTCAGGCGTGTGCACGGTCATGACGGACGCGGAGGCGTCAGCTTACCTACAGGCGTGCGGCCGTCTGCACGTGCTACCGTCTTTGCAGCTTCTCAAGCATCACGAGCGTCACTTCTACGGAGTCCAACACGGGGAGGTTTTTCTCCGTTGGCAGGCAGAAGGAGATGCGACCTACGCAGCGGAAATTACTGCTC